GCGCAGGTGAAAGACGGGAAAGTGGAAGATACGTGAAATTTATCGTCGGTGGACGATGCCCACTAACGAATGTGTCCCAGAGGGATAGAACGGGTGGACAATGCAGTTTTCCAATTTTCATCCCCCCACCTAGCGAATATTCGAGCCCCTGTTCGACCTGACCAGCTAGCTCCCCGCGCGCGTGCTCTCATCCTTTATCATCCACTACCCGAACAATCATAAAGCATGTTGATTCACGGTCCGCCGTAAATTTAGTGTTATTTTATTCTTGCTTTAGTGTCGCTTAAGCGGCACTTTTAACGACCCCCGACGCGCCACTTGAATTGCATCGTGCCTCGTTAGATGTGAGATCGTCGTACTCGTTGATTTTTCTGCAACTGTCTATCATGTGACATTCATTGACATTCGCCAATTTAATTGCATGTCACACGATCTAATTAATTGCTACAATTTCACGAGTTTCTCTTTATGCAGCATGAATTATTTGTCTTCTTTCCACGTACAAGAACGTTTAAATTTAAATAATATATTGACGCGTTTCATGAATTTCTCTTACACACGACTTTACGGATAAAATCACCAATATTGCATTCTTTTATTGTTACAATTTTGAATTTCGTGGAAATTTAGAACTTTTTGAAGAAAGGACTGTATATGCTGCTACAATATTAGAAATTTCAAGCACGCAAATGCTGTAGTTTTGGATCTGAATACATGTCGGACGTTACGTTGACACGACTGGCCGAGTTTTACAGTTTGTATCACCTTCCCTGCGAAGTGACAGTTATATACGATTACACTGAGAGAAAAGCTGAACCGGTATTCGTTCCGGTGACGGTGAGCAAGTAGGAGGGGTGGCTGAGACAGGAGCCTCGTCCGGGAAGAGTTACTACCGCTGCTACCAGTGCTCCTGTCCGAACTTGAAAAATAATTCAGCACGAAGTAATGTCCTGAATATAAAATACGTATAGGACCCGTCAATTTCAAAATGGAAGACGAAGTCTGGGCGGGAAACAGCCGTTTGCCGTATTTTTATTTATATTTGGCCTAGTTTAAATATAAGTCAAATTATAATCTTCCCGAGGAATTATAAAAAACCCTTATCTTCAGAACATTTTCAGAAAGCTGAGATTGAAGATAAAGTTAAATATTCATTTTTTTACATATTTATTCTTTGCTTAATTAATATTAATTATATTAATTTTAATATGAAAAAATGAGAGATCTGAAGAGTGTTAATAAAGTCGATTTATATACATTTTATTTGGATATTAGTATATATGATTTGCTTTTTATGAATCAGTAGTATCATGTACAGTAGTATATCAAATTGCTTTTTTAAGATATCAATAACTCTTATACGATTATAATAATAATAAAATTTAATTGTTTTTGCGAACGTTAAATCTGGAATGTATACTTAATAGTAAAACGATATACTTACGTTAGTACGTTCAGTGGTAAAGGAAGATATAGTTATGACATGATGTTCACGTTTAGTAGTAAATAGCGTGTTTACTCTTTACGGCGTCTATAAATACCATACGACCATAAAATTGTTAGGTACTAGTTAAAAAGCATAAAAACGATTTTTTAAATTAATAATAATAAATATTTAGAAATAAACGAATTTTATCGTACCTAACTTAATTGAGAATCATTTGGAAAATATGAAATGACATAGGATAGAATTTTCATTATGAATACTGTACAGTGTTTATTATATAGGACAACGTACATTATATACCAGGAGTGTAAGTTGAAGCTTGCCGGTTTTTATAGTAGGTGTCGCTAGCAGGATGTAGGCATTTCTATGATTTGACATATATACGATTTTGTTCTATGGATATTAATCTCCAAAATACCGAAGTCTCATTCCGTCAAAATAATAGCGCCATAGTCGTTTATATCAATAAATATGTCGAGTTTCGTTCCAAATAAAGAGCATTTGCGGCATTCGTTGCTTTTCTTATTTCATCAAAAGAAAAAAGCAGCTGAAGCACATCGTTTGCTAGTAGAAACTTATGGTGAACATGCTCCAGTGATTAGAACGTGTGAGACATGGTTTCGTAAATTTAAAAGTGGTGATTTCGATTTGAAAGACAATGAACATCCTGGTGCAGCGAAAAGGTTTGAAGACGAGGATTTGCAGGTGTTGTTGGATGAAGACCCAACCCAATCACAACAAAAATTGGCAGAAACACTTAATGTGTCCCGAGTAGCAATTTGCCAACGTTTACAAGCCATGGGAAAGATCCAGAAGTATGGAAAATGGGTGCCACACGCATTGAACGACATGGCAAAGTTATTTTGCAACATGACAACGCGCCGTCTCATGCCGCTAAACCCGTGAAGGACACATTAAAAACACTTAATTGGGAAATATTATCGCACCCGCCGTACTCTCCAGACCTCGCTCCGTCCGACTTCCACCTTTTCGCATCGATGGGGCACTCACTTGCAGAGCAGTACTTCGCCAATTTTGAAGAAGTCGAAAAATGGCTCGTCGAATGGTTTTCCTCGAAAGAAAAACAATTTTTTTGGAATGGTATCCATAATTTGCCTAAAAGATGGGCGAAATGTATAGAATCAAATGGCCAATACTTTGAATAAAAATATTTTGAGATTCCCCTGAAAATTATGTGTTTTCTTTAACGAAAAAACCGGCAAATTTCAACTTACACTCCTGGTATATAAAACGTTAAAAAAGCGTAATTATGTATTTGTTGTTCTTGAACCGTCTTCTTTTGCTGTAAAAGCAATTCATCTTTGTGATCAAATATGTAATCGCAGGGGCGGATCCAGACATTTGTCAAGGGCGGAAGGCCATTGACGCACCACAAGCAAAATTTTTTCAAGGTTAAATATAAAATATGAGATATTTAAGTTACTATTGGCATATTACATTGAAAAGTACTATATAATTATATAATCCAGGAAACGTTTTATTTAAAATTATAAACATAAAAAGAATAATATAATTTATAATATATATAATGGTGACACCAATACCCCGAATTTTGTTCACTTAGCGCGAACGAGTGGAAAATAAAAGCTGTAGCACAGACTTTAATCTTAATTTACTTACTTTTTGGAATATATAAAGGAATCTATATTTTTGTTCTTAGAAGATTCTTAAAATAAAAAATATTTTTGGAATATCAAAATTGTGATTAAGTATTTTAGAAATATTAAAAGTATGTATAACCTTTTGCTATAAATATTTTTAAAAAGGGAAACTCTCAAGGGGGCCCCCATGGCCCCCCCCCTTGAATTCGCCCTTGTGTAATCGTGCCTGTGTCATACTGTGACTTTTTACTCATCTTATTTGTAATTCATAACACATCGAAGCTCTACCATGAGAAAGCTTACGCCATAGTACTGGTAGGTGGTATTGCGAATTTAAGGAGAATTACGTCTCCAGAATTTGCGATGCATGACAAGAGAAATTGCTATAACGCGCCCACGTTCCCGTATTTGACAAATTCGAATATGTGGCATGATTTTCTTTTACATATCGGAATAAACATGAATATAAGCGAACATCGTCTTATTTGATATTTATAAGAGAGGCTGAAGCATAATTCAGTCAGTGATTATGTGAATTTATTCCGTGCAGATACGCAAATCGAATAAGAATTGATTGCATATATATTATTTACGTAAAATAACTCTTATCTAACTCTCTTAAAAATATAATTTTGCAATAATAAAAAAATATGATAAAAAGAATATATGTATTAAATTGCATCTTTAAAAAAACAGAAGCTCTTTTTTTGTTTTATATAAAAATATGTATTTAAATATATTATGTGATATATTTGCAATGATTTTATGTACTTATTACTGTCCATATTTATATAATACTGATAGAAAATTGTTTTTATTTTTTTCCAGTGCAAAATTTTGTGATTAAATATAAAAATGAAGATTATAATCATTATTAGAATCAATACATACCTTATTTTGTTGCACAATCTGTTGACGAGTTTTTTTTTCTTATTATATATAAAGAATATAAATAAAGTAAAAAGTGAAGCACACTGTAGACGCATATATTCTCCGGAATTTCATGAAATTCATTACGTATTCTTCTCGAACCTTCGAACGAAAGGATATAGCACGATACATGGTATCAAATTACCTCCGCATCCTTTGGCACTACGCGACCGCTTTAATCCCATTGACTTTAAGAGCTGTGCTCAAAGAAACAACGTGAATTGCGAGGGGCAGCGAAAAGAACGTTCCAGAACATTGAGATCAAATGGAGTATCGCAGGTCATTTAATGAATTATTTGCGAATGAAGCTAAATTTACGAGACAGTAGGTATACGAGGAAACTTGTATAAGGACATTTTATCTTTGTTTCCATTTGCGTGAAACTCTTTTTAAAAGAGAACGTATTTTTCATTTTATATGCACAATTGGAAAATTGAACAAATATACAAAATTTGTTGCGTAATTGGCAGGAAAAGTCGAGGTTTTTAAATATGGTTGGCGGAAAAAATTTATACTCTTATCCAGCTAAAAATTGTTTTCTGAGAGAGAGAGAGAGAGAGAGAGAGAGAGAGAGAGAGAGTACATTTATTTTTGCTATAATATTATTGCAAAATAAAATATTAAACTACATACAAATAATTTCGTGTTTATTCTCTTCCTCATGTAAAATTGCTTTATTGCAAGGTGTGTGATCATTTAAAATAAATACTTACACAAATACGTGTCATAAAATCTACTCATTATCTTTCTGTAACTAATTTCTCAGTTACAAAGCAATTCATAATTTCCACATATATGGACATTCTTTAAAGTCTAACTAATTGTAATTATTCTTCATTATTTTCTGTTATGAATAAAGACAGATTAATGTTGACTTTCTAGAACTGCATTGATATATAATATTAATTATTCACCCTCTTTTCCTCGATTGTATTGCGTACTATATAAATAGTTACATTATTTTATCACTAATCTAACTTATTATGATACAATTATATTCTACGATTATAATATTTTTAAGGTATTTCCCGAGCTAAATCAAGCTTTCTATTATTCTTGTTTTGTACGTACTTGCAATTATTGTAGAAGATAAATTCGAATCCTTCAAATAAATCGCAATCCATTTTTAAATTGTATATAATCTCTTCATTTAGCGTATCATATAATGCAGTTTATATATAATGTTCCTACAATCTATAAAAGTTTATCTTAACAATCTAGATTTGCTTGGTCGCATTTTAGGTACATTTCAACGTTGGAAACGGCAAGAAATAAGCGTGAAATACTGTCGGGTGTGCACTAGAGCAAGAAAGTTTGGCTGTTGCGCGCGAGTATTAGAAACCACGAAAACGGAAGCAGAAGTCCGGGCCAGTGCCTGACGTCACTTCCGGAAGAGACGTATCCGGCGTCACGTTGCATAGCTTCCGTGCGTTCCCCTGTAACAGAAAGGCAAAAAACGAGAATCAAGTGTCAGTGTTACACTCGTCAGCCGTACTTGTATCGCTCACGTAATCGTATGAATATTTACGAGTGCTGTATCAAATTAACGAGGTTTCACGCGATATCATCTAATGAGTGTCATTAGCAGGAACGCTTCGCATGAGCAAACGTTGAAAAATTGCCGTATTAGGATATTGAATCTGAATATCATGCGCCGGAAATCTTGATACTTTTTGAGAATAATGACACCACCCACAATCGTAAATCAATGTCGCTTCAAGATTACGGGATTATGGATTTTCTCGTGTTACAAGAGATCCATTAATTATTGCGTTGTTTGAGGGATGTCGATACGCGTTTCTCTACCGTTCTTTCATTCTCTGCTATTTAAATTTAATACGATGGTACAAAGATCAATTTGATGCAATTTGCATAGCAGGTATCACCAATTATCATCAAATTTTCAAGATAGCAATTTTAACTGGCTTAATAAACTTATTATATCAACAAAATCAAATGTAATTCACGCGTAGCAAAAAAAGAAGAGATATTATTATTTTTCTAAATATCGAAATAAATTGAGTAGTTCTTGAAATTTTTGTGCTTAAGGCAACCAATCTCTCATATAAACTGCATATAACGAAATAATTACGAATAATCTGATATTTACCAAATCCAAAAAAATAGCGGTAACGTTGAAACTCGCACATTGTACGATGTATTCAATGATACATCGCGGTGCGCTTCGCACGTATGGTATCGAGAATGTGTAAACGCAATCAGCTTGCATGGGACAGTTGATTTTGTCAAGATTGAATCTGCAATATTTTCAGGCAAAGCAACGATGATTGCGTACGTCACAGGAAATTCAAAAAAGATTAGTAAATATTTCAATCAAACCGCCATACTATATAAATTACTCCACGGTGTTGATAGAGCGATAGGAATAAAAGAATTCATTTTACATTCTCTATTTGCACACCGACATGCACCTATGCTCGATTGCTATAGCATCGCTAGCTGATGTGGAAAGTAGTTAAAATCTTAAGGATGAAAAAGACCTTAATTCCAACCGCCGCGACCCTTTGAAGTTTAGATCCCAATCGCGCCTTCATCTTTACGAACATTAACAAGAATGAAAACTAAACTTTACGAAGAAACCGGTAATAAGTACTTTATTTTCTGAAATTACGCTTTTAACGACTTCTTTGATTACGCGGCGTTGATCCCTTAATGGCTAGAATACGTCAGCTTTGTGGTTCGCAAGTAAACTTTGCGAATCATTTTTTTTCTTCCGATGTTCGAGAAAGACAATATCGATTTTAAAAATATAAAAGAAAATTATATCAACCCTAAATAGATCTCAATATTGTCATAGAATAACGTTCAATTTAGACGCAATAATAATGGACCAATATGAGACAGCCCCGCAATAACAAGGTTTTCGATGAACCGTGCGTATTCAGTAGTATAAGAGTCGACATGGTCAGCCATATTGCATAAGCAATATATCATCAAAATTCCACCAATGTCTGAATCCATGCACGTGTACTCACTAATTACAAATTAATAATTAATTTCTTGATACGAATAACATGATGTATTGCGAGATGTAAATTCAATTCCACGATTACGCCGATCAAATTACCTCATTTAAATATGTTTATCATTGTAAAGAATATTGTTTTTATTGCTACACGCATAATAAAATTGTTTTAATATTTCTTTTAAATATTTATGCGTTTTTAAACTTATATGTATTTTCAATAATATAATAGTATTATAATATTCTAATGCTTTTTAATGATCTATTAAAAATACAATACGACAAATACACGGAAAGAACGAGTGAGCGGTTTTGCTGAAATTTTTGAAAATAATTTGACTATCAAAATAATTATGTAAGACGCTTAAGCTGGTTACTAGACCATCAAAATTTTTTGCAATATTGCCTATCATACTTCACAATTTTCTACATAATTATTTTAATGAGCCAACAAAGTTATTTTCAAATTTGTATCTAGCTTGATTTTTAAATACTTCAGCAAAATTGTTTCTTCGAACAATGTAGGTTTTCTGTATGTTAGGTCATTATATTTAATAAGGCGGTAGTTATTAATATGCATAATGCAGAATTCAATAAGGATCGATAACGATCGACTATCAATGACAATTTCCAGAATTCGGGTGACAATACGTTGCCCAGGCATGCTTGCGTACAGCCAGAGTATGCGTTCAGGTATTCGTACGAAAGCAGTATGAATCGCACGACCGATCGAGGCAATCATGACCGTGAACATCGCCATCCGTGTTAGTGGGAATGCGACACGCGTGTACGGGCACGTGGCACGCATACGCACCGGAACTGCACGCGGCGTCGGTTAAAGCGGAAGCAAAATCTTTGCACGTGCGATGCATTTACATCTGGGAGCACAATAATAATCTATCATTATTGATTTGTGATCGCTTATATGGCAACACTTGGCTGCATCTACTTGGCACCCTCCTGCATGAACAATTCGAAATGCAAATGACGTGCAAACGCTTAATTATATTCCTCATTACTGTTACAGTTGTCTTACCAATTTCATGATAATTCAAACGTTAGAGAAAATCTTTTTCTCTTTAACTATTTAAAAATGGAAAACTGATATTTTAGATCACTGACTAAGGCTCAGTTCCACAACTCACGGTTAACTCTTAACAGAGGTTCAACTTGTTTCTTATCTTTTTTCAATTCTAGAATTGGAAAGAGACAATGAATAAGTTGAATCTCGGTTAACCGTGAGTTGTGGAACTGGGCCTAAGTGACTACAAATAGCTACTGTTAACAAAATTTAAATCATAAAATCATTTTACTACAAAAGAAAATGTTATAAATAATTATCAAGTGTAACTTACAATGATTGCATGTAATCTGCTTTATATGAACAAATTGAACGATGGATAAAAATTGAAATAGTGCAATTAATCGTTGATAATTAATTAAATTCCCCCAACTATAATTTCTTTATTAAACTTTCCACAATTTTCTATTAATCTTGTTTTTCCAAATATTCCAACCTTTTATTATTCAACGCCGTTTTCACACTCAAAGTATTTAAGCTCTTCTGAAAACTAACTGCGATATATTTTAAAATAACATGCGCTTAATTATAACGAGATTGATTATCGAGCTGAGCGAGAGCGGAATTAAAAATTAATTTTCAATCTGCGATAGCGGTCCAGTAAGGGTCGTATAACCCGTGCAAATAGTTTCCCTCTCAAGTCAATAACTTTTTCGAACGACCAGCTTGGAAAAAGGAAAGACAATCGCCAGATGACGTAGTAATTAAAAATTTACAACAGCGTATTAATAAATTCATAATTACATATATAACGCCAATATGCATGCAAGAGTTATTTTCTAAATTTTTATACACCACTCACTTAATTATTGACCCGATTTTTAATGAAGTATATTTCAGCATATAATAAGTGCGAACGTGCTCGCATTATAGCCGCGCGGAATCATAATGATTTATGAGCGTTGGAAGTTCACGAGTAAGTTGCACTTTAACTCATCCGCTCGCTCTTAGCAACTCCTTAGACACTGTCTCGGAAACTGTCCGCTTGCGCCAGAGAGTTACGTCTAAAGCGAGGTAAAAGAGTACAAAGTTATACAAAAAATGAAGATTCGTAGTTAATGAATGCACAATGTTCCGGCTCTGTTGCATGATTCGCACATGTAAATTCGTAAATAATTACTCTATGCGTAATTAAAGGTAGATATCGGATGAATAATTAATGCAAAATGATTTGGATGTTTCCTTATAACAAACGAGGAAGTCAGAAGATTAAGGACTTTGTTAGTTTAAATCCCCGTTTATGATCCACCCTATAGCTAGCCGATAACGAGCACATTAACTAGCTTCGAAAGTATCTATTAAAGTGTGCATTGTCGTATTAAATGAAATAAATGGATCCCGTAGTTTAAGAACTCTCATCGCGGCGGCGTAGTAGATATAGGCAGCGAGCGAAAAATTAGCAGAATTCCGCGAAAGCCGAAACTCGCGGATTTCACTTTGCACAAGTATTTCGGTTACGAAATTTAATAATATCGTACCTTAAAACGATGCCATAAGAGGAACAGAGAGCGCGATAAGAAATGAAAGAAAAGATCTAGAAGAGCGGAGAGTTTGGAGCCGTGGTATAAACGACAGTCTAGGGAGCTGTTAGGTATTAAACTCCCTGCAAACTTCCGCAGTCCGTCGTGCTCGATATATATTTAAAATATCTTGGAAGTATCCATGAATCGTCTAGACTGAACCGGCGACGTACAGAGACTCCAGGGATTCGTAGGACGTCGGAAAGTGATATCATAACTCGCTACAACGAAATGTCCCGATTTGCAGAGTCACATTTAACGCTTGTTTATCCTCCTATCGTTTCTTAAAAGATTTTAATCGATTTTCTTGACGCTTTCGTAAATATATCAGCAAGATAAATCTTTTTCCCCGTTCGTTCGTGTTTAACCCTTTGCGTACAAATCTAGATAGCTAATGTCCAATCGATTTTTTATGGAAGTTTCTCGAAATTTCAAAAATAATTACCGTAAAGTGGGGCTAAGCGAGCCGGTTTTTAAGGTTTTTCGCGTGAAAAAAGGTTAAATACATTAAATTAAATTCTGATGCTTTGAATATATAATCTCAGACATGTTAACTTTCAGATTAACTATTTACAACGGTTATCGGAAGCATAGGAATTGAATTATTAATGGCAAAAGCCTGGCTCGGTTTACCCCGCAAGGTGGGGCTAAGCGAGCCATTTGTTTTAAATGCAAAACTAGGTTGCTGGTTCGATTGAAACGACAAATTTATAATGATTACGAACTTTATTTCGTTTCTAACAATAAACAGAGGTCAGGAACATGTTTTACAACTTATAAATTAACTCATAAATTCCAATTCTCAAACAATAATGAAAATAAACAGTTCATTTATAATTTTGCGTAACA